CGTGGTTGTTTTGGTGTTGTTTTTTTGTCTTCTCTCACTCAGAGCATCAACGTTTTGTCTCGACGTGCTTCTCTTTACTCGCTCACACTCACAGCGTCAGCTTGCGTGGGATATCAAGGCAGAGCTAGACCTGTTAAATATGAGAGGAAAACGATGCTGTAAATATATATCGTTCAAGTGCCGCTTTGCTTTCTTTTGGCCGGTGTCGTGTCATTTGGCTGTGTCTCTTATATATGACCTTATTGTAATGCAAATGCCGTAACACTCGTACGAAAAAAGAAGTTTGGCTGTGTCTGTCTATAGACGTGGATGTGTGTTTGTTGATGATTTCATTTTTATGGAATACGGTTTGTTTTATTTATCCCCTTACGATGGTATATAGTTTTCTTTTTAGATCTATATCTGTAGGTTTGTCTAAAATTGAGATCGGTTTATGAGTTTGAAAACTTTATTTTTTTTCTTCTCTTTTTGTTGTTGACGTTTTGGGATTTTGTTTGTTTGTTTGAGGTTTTTTTAGGGGGATGGGTTGTTATTTTGTTTTTAAACGTTAATTTTGTGGGTGGTTGGAGGGCGCCACTGGTAGGTCCTCCTACTTTACTTTCCCTCTGTTGTTTCTGTTTGTCTGTCGTACTATTTCCCAGCCCTTAATCTTATTGTGTTGCAAGTGCCGTAAAACTCTTACTAAAACTAAGCAGCGCTAAATGACCATTATTGTGTCGATGTGCTTCTCTTTACTCAAACGAACAAACTGTGAGTGAAAGTTGAATCCAACCGCTCGACCAAGACATCACAACACGTTTCGAATTTTGAACAAACTGAATAATCTTTTGATGTTTTGTTGGGGGTTTTTTTCCTCTCCCTCTCTTCTCCAATGTCTGAAAATGCAACAACAAAAAGACTCCAAATAAAAAAAGCTACAAGTATTGCAAAACTCAGCCATCTATAAAAGGTAATGTCGAGGAATAAGTAAAATTGATAACCTACACGGGCGATGATAGAGCCTAGAGGGTTAAGGGATGTTTATCCGTGATGATGAACGGTCATTTGAGAAACGGTAATCGTTGCTTTCCCACAATAAACGTTATTATATACCGTTCTGCGTACGCGTTCGTCTAACGATTTTGCGAGCTAGTCGTGGCAGTAAAGATAGAAGCACTCTGCCTCCTAAATGATGTATTTTGTTGTTGCGATGAGGGTGTGCTGCGGGTGGTTGGAGAGGGGGTGGGGGGTGTCACTTGTAGGTCCTACTTCTTTACTTTCCCTCTGTTGTTTCTGTCAGTCTGTATGGGTGGTTGGAGGGTGTCACTTGTAGGTCCTACTTCTTTACTCTCCCCCTGTTGTTTCTGTCTGTCTGTGTGAGTGGTTGGAGGGTGTCATTTGTAGGTCCTACTTCTTTACTTTCCCTCTGTTGTTTCTGGGATGATGAAGTATTATCTTATTTTATCTTATCTTATCTTTCATAATATCAAACATTTATCATCCTTATCTCTCCTCCCTCTTTTTTGTGTTTGTTACTCTCTTGTAACACCTCTAATCCTCGGCACTTATATGACCTTATTGTGTTGAAAGTACCGTAAAACTCTTACTAAAACAAACAGAGATCTTGTTTATTTGTAATCTGACAGTAGTGAGAGGGACGTTTATTTACCTATGCCGTCCATAACTGCTTCTGAAAATATTTTTGTGCTGTCTCATTATTTTGTCTAGGCAGTGTATGTGTGATAAGTGTGTGCACAGCTTTCATCTTCACCACAATAGCCGCGCTTACGGGGTGGGGGGTGGGGGTGGTGGAGGCTCGTGTTATTAATAAGCAACACCTTCACAAAGATAATTGGTCGCTTTTAAGCACAAGGGGGCTATCCCGCGAAATGTTGTTTCGAGAAAATCGAAGGTAAAGTTTTTGCCCCTTGTTCAGTTTCATTAAAAAAACAAGGAGAGTTTTCTCTATAACCAAACAAATATTCACACCAATGAAACCAAACTTCTACTATAGGTTGGGCACTGCCCGCTTTTGATGTAGGTCAAGATTTCTGGAAAGCCCCCGAATCTGGGTTAGTCCGCTTGTCCTTAAAAACGACCAATTATGCTTGTGGATTAATTAAGTTTCCTCTGTGATCTACTTATAGATCGGGGCCAAGCCTCGCGAGCCATCACCACCACTAGAGACAAAGAAAAACTCGATGTGGCTGATTTGATGAAATGTTTGTCCATATTTGGCGTTTGTGTGGATTCCGCATTAGTACGGTTGTTGTTGTTGTTGTTGTTGCTGTTGTTGTTGTTTTTGTTGTTGTTGTTGTTGTTGTTGTCATCGTTTTGTTGTTTACCTTCCTGTGGGTGGTTGGCGGGTGCTCTGGTGTGGTTTGCTTCTTCTTTCCTATCAAACATCTATCGTCTCTATCTCACCTCCTTCTTTTTGTATTTGTTACTCTCTTGTAACACCTCTAATCTTCGGCGCTTATATGACCTTATTGTGTTGCAAGTGCCGTAAAACTCTTACCGAAACGAAACTTAAAATGCCAAACTGTGGGATACAATGTCGGGATCATTCGTGTTGCTGCTCCTCTCGAGTGTGTGGAGGTCTTGCTGTGAATGTTGAACTACTGATAGATTCATATCCTTTTGATATCATTCATTTGCGAGGGGAACTTTTCGTTGAAATGTTTCTGTATCATCCTTGTCTCGGCGATATCGTTTCCTCAGGACACCCCTCACTGACGTGTTTGGTACTTGTATCATTCAGGTCCCCGCGATAACATTTTCCTTGGAAGGCGGGACTGAAAAGAACAAACAATAGTTTGACGGACACCACGTCTTTTTTGGGCGTTTGTTATCTATACGCCGTAAAAATGAGCTATTCTGTCGTCTTACCCCCCCCCCCCAAAAAAAAAATAAATCTCTAAACGACCCTTATTGTGTCGATGTGCTTCTCTTTACTCAAACAAACAAGCAAGGGCGTTCAACTCATATAAGTGGGTGGTTGGTGGGTGGTGCTCTGGCGTGGTTTGCTTCTTCTTTCCTATCAAACATATATCGTCCTTATCTCCCCTTCTTCTTTTTTATGTTTGTTACTTTCTTGTAACACTCCTAATCTTCGGCATTTATTTGACGGCATTCTGTCGCAAGTGCCGTAGTTGCGAGTGCGTAAAACCTCAACTAAAACTAAAACTAAAAGGTGCCGTAAAATTCTTATGAAAAACAACGCATATTAAACGAAATTAAAAAGAAAAACGCGAAAAAAACAACAACCCGAGTGGATAGAAAGAAATTCCTTGGGTATAGGAAAGTGCTGTACAGATTTGTTTTCCTTCCCCTCTGTTGATGAAACTTTGCGTGATTCTGTACCCGATGTGTGGGAAAACCGGTATCTGGTTGTGGCTTTTACCGTGGTATCTTATTTGTTTTACCAGATCTTTGTGACCTGTCGTGACTATAGTTCTTGGACGACTGGGCTTGCAAACCGTTTCCAATACAAAATCATCATAAGTAACAATGTAAACATGTGATCTTCTGGAATTGTGATAAGATTGCCGTTTTATTTATCATAATTTAATTTTCTGTAGCTTTCTTGTGAACATGACTAAAATATATGGTGTGTTACTGACAAACCAGTATCTGAATTTACGCCTATTGAGTGAACACACCGTTTTCGAACCAATCCGGATTTACCCGAACCAGTGACCTTCTCTTCTTTTGATAAACCGGATTTACCCGATTCAGTGACCTGTTGATCCGGTTAGAATCCGGATAATGAGTAAACGAGTCCCAATACCAAACGACTTGGCTGGATCTTTCTTGTGGAGTTTTTTGCCCTCCCCTTCACCCTATGGGGACACACTCTCTGAAGGAAGAAGATCATGAGAACTGGGATGTGACCAATCCTGGTGTTTGTTAGTCGCACGAAAGCGAAGTGAAAGAAGAAGAAGAAAGAAAGAAAGAACGAAATCTTTTCCCCCCTCCAAATCTCTGAAGAAAGACGGCGGTGGCAAAGACTTCCACCATTGCACCGACAGTGGTGTATACGGTACTGGTTCTGGGCCCGGCCCCAGACAAAATGGCCGCCGGCTCCGAGGAGGATGGGGAGGTGAGGACGGACGTGTACGATGGACAGAAGGAGGAGAGGAGGCTGAGGGAGGAGGAGGCCGGGGGAGGCAAGAAGGAGGGGGAAGAGAAGGAGGACGTGGACAGTAACGCCATGTGGAACACGCTGTATAAGATTGGAGGAGCGCTGGAGCCGGTAGGTGCTTGTAGATACTGTTGTAGTTGTGGTGGTGGTGGTGGTGGTGATGATGATGATGATGATGATGATGATGATGATGATGATGATGATGATGATGATGATGATGATGATGATAGGAGGAGCGCTGGAGCCGGTAGGTGCTTGTAGATACTGTTGTGGTGGTGGTTGAGGGATGATGATGATGATGATGATGATGATGATGATGATAGGAGGAGCGCTGGAGCCGGTAGGTGCTTGTAGAAACTGTTGTGGTGGTGATGATGATGATGATGATGATGATGATGATGATGATGATGATGATGATGATGATGATGATGATGATGATGATGCTCTGTAAAAGATAGGAGGGGCGCTAGAGGTGGTAGGTGGTGGTGGGGAATGATGGTGACAAAGGTGGTGGTGGTGATGGTGGTCGGATGATGGTGATGATGATTGTGATGATGTTGTAGCTGTATTTTTGTTGTTGTTGTTGTTGTTCTTGTTGTTTTGGCTCTCATAATGGTTATCATTGTTTGTTTATTATTA